TTGAATCCAAAGAGAGCCAAATGCCCACAAGCACCCTCGCCAGGTTCATTGAACACAGAGGGGGAGAGAGAGAGAGAGAGAGAGAAACACCTCCAGATTCACCGAATCGGCAATTCTATTTCCTAAAGCCCACACTTTAGCAGCTCATCGGTAAGCTGCTGGATAAATCCAAAACTGGTCATCGTGTCTTCTCCTTTGTCAAAGATAGGCTGCGTGTTTCAGGGCTGGATTAAGTGGTCTTTTCGCAACACCAACGTGAGCTTCACAGCCCCAAAACCAAAATGAATAAGCACACAACACAGTAACCCGCAAACTCCTATATCCCTTAATTAAGGAATATTCCTTAAATCATATTAGGGATCCTACTATAATAAGGTATATTCCTTCATTAAGGGACATTGGAGTCTCTGGAAACACACACCAGTGCTTAGACTGCTGTGTTGGTGAGGTTGATCCCTGCTTTGGAGGCAAAAAACACGAGCAGGGTTTAGGGGATTCTGGTTCAGGGTGCTGCATCATTACATAGAGTCAGGTTATGGATTTGCCGGGAACTGTCTAGTAGACAATCACCTGTTCGACAAGTTACAAAGGCATTATGTTGCACTCACTATCGAAGAGCTTCTGCAATTGCATGCGCAATGTAGTACAGTACAAGTCTGGACTTTAGGTAGACCTTCCCCACCGCACCCAGCATGCAGAGATGGACGGACCTCGATGCTCCAGTAGCCTCAGGTGTTCCACTTAAAGGATCATAGGACTTAGTAACTAAGGTTATAAGTAAGGTAACTACACTTATAACTACTTATGACCACAATTTAGGTACCTATAGCCTTACTTACTAAGTCCCATGATCCTCTAAGCAGTGTCCACAAGGTCAAGTAATTCAGAAACATTGAAGTCGGCACTCATCGGTACTATAGGGGCCTTAATAATTACCTACACTGTTTTGGGGGTTCCTGATTATAATTAGAGTATAGTGGGTCCCAGTTCCTATTCTAATTATTAACGCCCCTGTTTTACTCATGCTAGACGAAGGCTCAACATGACTTAGAACACCCTGTAAAGACAGCTGACGGAACTAGAATACTGGGCTCTAAATCGAAAGCAGCCAGTGGATCTTGCTTACACACCCCTCCAACCCTAACCCTAAAGTAGATTGCCCAAAAAACAGTTAGCCCTGGACCCAACAATCCTAAACGACACCTTCAAACCCTAAACCCTAAGCCCCTAAACCCTAAAGACATGTCGCTCCGCTTAAATCAAAGCAGCCGTATGTAAAGGCAGCTGAAGCGCTGCGACGAGAGGAAGACGGCTCAACTTAATGTAGGGGCCCTAAGAGTTGGAATAGGGTTTTGGGGCCATTGATACTATACTCATGATAGGACCACCCCCTATAATAATAATAATTAATAATAATAGTAATAATAATAAGAACAATAATAATAATAATAATAATAATATATATATATATATATATATATATATATATATGTATATAAGCCACCAAATTATGGCTCCGGGCCCTCCGCTTTGGCCGATCGCAACAAAACCCATAAGTCCTTTCATTAAGGCCTCGATGGAACACTACCCCCTCCGGCAATGGAAGCTCTGAGGAAGCGCACTGTCGTAGCCAGAAGCATCAGGCCCCTGCCAAGCAAAAGCTTTTTTGAAGGGCTTGAGGTTAAGGCAGGCGCATCGTTGAAGATGCTGTAACCACAAGGGTTCTACAATTTTCTTACAGGCTTCCATGAGAATTCTATCAGGCTTTGGGTGAGGTTTAGGGCCATTTTAGTTCAGGGTTTGGGACTAACATTTTCTTTCCTGTGGTTAGTAGGGAATGGAAGAATGGGTATAATCATAACTACTATTACCACCATTCTTCCAGTCCCTAGCAAGCTTCGTTCGAGTTTCGGGCTGGGGGCTTGAGGCATCCCCGGGTGAGGGATCACGGATCCTTAAGGGCTGCGCACCATAGCCCAAAAGAGGTTAGCCTTTTGAATTGTAGTTGGTTTATCTTATATAAACCCCGGAAGGTTAAAGGTTTCCTCAGCTACTAAGGACAGCTACTAAGGATCTGCATGTCTGCGAGGGTTGAAGACTTGGTGCCATGTAGAAACGGTGTGCTGCGGAATCAGGCTACGCTACGGTTCTACACGGACTAACTGCGTGAAGAAGTAACGCTAGCTGCCCTCTTTGGTTTCGACAGCGTGGATTCTAGACACTCCGACGTTCAGACGTTTGAGTATCCAACGAGCCCAGTATGTCTCGGCTTGAGGTTTCGAGCTTAGGGAAAAACCACCGTAACCGTACACTGTAAACCCACAAAGCCTGATGCCAAACGGACATCTAGACCCAAGAGTAACCTAGGAATAAAAAGGGTGCCCTTTTTGGGATAAAGTGGGTTATAAGGGAACCTAAACCCTTAAAAAGGGAATAAGGGCCTACTCTGGGTCCTAGACATTGAGATCGGGCGAAGGCCGTCGAGAAAGGGATAAACCAAGCTGGTTGACATCGGGTTAATGCACCGGGTGCAACTTCCGAATAGCCAGGTTTCAGGTTTAGGGTGGGGTGTTTGGAACTTAGGACTTAGCGTTCGGAGGACCCTGACTGTCAATTGCAGAGTGAAGCATGGCACCTAAGATGCATTTAAGCATGTAAAACATACCCTATGCCCTGACCCCGTTCTACTGTTAAAGGCAAACTCCGGCGTTACCTTGAATATTCCAGGATGTGCGGACTGTTGTATACTGCCTCTTCAGGACAATGCCGCATGACAATGCCCCACACCCTACGTACTGACAAACACTGCAGAAATCTATAGCACACTAGAAACCATGTACAGTCCACAACTCCGGCAGAAACCTTTAAAGCCATATAGGTGCATCTTACCTTCCTAGGCCGTAAACCGTAAAACCTAAAGCCCCTGGGCTCTAAATCCCCTAAACCCCCTGAGCCCTTGAAAGGGACACTTAAAGGAGCCCTTAACGGGATCCTTACAGGAGCCCTACACGGAGCCCTCCTAAATGTAGGAGCTTCAATGATCAGAGTTGAGGCTTGGGGCCCATGATGCTATAATTATACTAAGCAAACCCCGAAATAGTACTGGTAAATATTTTCGCCCCTATATCATATTACCCTTATAGTAACCCTTAGAGTACCCATTTAAAGGAATCCCTTAAAGGAACCTGATTCTAAGTATCTAGGCCCCTGTAGCAGAGTCCTTAAAGGGATCCATAAAGAAGCCCTTAATTCTTAAAGGAGCCCTGGAAGGAGCCCCCCCCCCTCTAGGAGGAGGGTCGGGGGACTTAGTAACTGGTTATTTTAGGGATTTATAAGTACCATAACCCCAATTAGGGTCCCTTTTGGGGTACTTATAAGTCTACTTACTACCTACTTACTAAGTCCTCCCCCCCCTCTAGGAGGGACCTTCACTGGCACGTCATCCTCGCAGTCTGCGTAACGTGTCTCCGGATAGATCTCAGCGGGCTGAGGCAGAGTATTGAGGGTCCTTCTATGACGGTCTTTAGGGTTTAGGGTTCTTCTATGAGGGTCTAGGGTTGAGAGTTTAGGGCTTAGGGTTCTTCTATGAGGGTTTAGGGTTCTATGAGTTTAGAGTTTAGGGTTTAGGGTTCTTCTATGATAGTCTAGGGTTTAGGGTTCTTCCATGAGGGTCCACGGTATAGAGTTTAAGGTTCTTCGATGAGGGTTCAGGTTTAGGGAAGTTACCAGAATGAGCATCTGTAGTAAATAATGGTTTCTTCAACGAGATGATATGCAATGGTTCCTGCTGAATGGGTTCTACGAAGGCGAGTTGTAGGGTTAGGATAGTATACAACAGTTTCTAGAACCCTTCCTGTAAAAGGGGTGCTAGAAGCTGCTAGAAGGTTTCTATAAATCCTACTATCAGGGTTACGATCAGGGTTAGGATCGATATAGATCCAGATCTAAATAAATAATATATACATATATATATATATATATGTATATATATATATATATAGATAGACAGATCGATATATACATATATACAGATATTCGACACATATACATATATGTATATGTATATGACCATATATATATATATATATGTATAAGCTTAGGGTTCCAGGCTTGGGGCCCTTGGGGGTTAGAGGAGTCGGGCCGCTGGGTCTCCAGGATGCAAGACCACCCTTTGGCAAAGGTATACGTGCACAAGTTTAGGGTTTAAGGGGTTTAGGGTAGTTTAGGGTTTAGGGGTTTAGGGTAGTTTAGGGTTTAAGGGGTTTAGGGGTTTAGGGGTTTAGGGTAGTTTAGGGTTTAAGGGGTTTAGGGGTTTAGGGTAGTTTAGGGTTTAAGGTGTTTAGGGTGGCTTGGGGGATCATAGGACTTAGCAACTAGGCTTCTTTTTTTCAAGGGTTCCTTGAAGGGATCTATAAGGGTTGCTATAAGGGGTTCTATGTGGATCTTGGGGGGTTACTTAGAGGACCATGCGACTTAGTAACTGAGGTCATAAGTAAGGTAGTTATACTTAGAACTACTTATAACCCCAATGAATTAAGGTACTTATATCAATACGTACTAAGTCTCATGATCCTCCAAGTATAGATGCCCGCAAGGGAGCGCAATGGTGCCGGAAACATCTGAACAGTATCGCTATAGATGGCCAAGGTAGATACGTGCACAAGTAGTTTGAGGTAGATAGCTGGATCGGTACATGGATAGAGAGTTAGATGACAGATGGTGAGATAGATGGATAGATGGCTAGATACACGCCCAAAGTACTCTGCCTACGCGCACATGGAACTGATTTGCATACCTGTATAGGCACATAACGAAGGTTTTGATGAAGAAAACAGTGAGGATGGCAGCCGAGAGTATGTTTGTGACTCCATGGCCGGATGGCCGCTGCTGTCGGTTTCAAAAATCTTCTGGGCATCAGCCGTTGTCTGCTCAGCTGATGTTTTATGGATTCCCCAAAGCTAATCCCTTGCTAGCAGCTTCCAGTTTACCCACTGAGCTACTCATGACCCATCAGCAGTTCTGGGCCACCCGGCCAGCTGGCGCCAGTCCCGGTTTCGCAGGATTTGGAAACGCTGCTTGCCCTTGGGCAGAGATGCCTGGATGCATGGAGAAGCTTGGCTGCACCCAAACCCTCCTTCTCTCGTACGCCCCGAATCCCCATCGAAACGACCCTGCGCCCGAACTCGGAAGCCTTAAACCGCAAATCGCTCAGGCCACTGATCCAGAGGCTCCTCCTTTATCGTCGTCGTCCGATGTATGCAGGATTCCCTGGAAAAGAAAGGGGTGCCTACTTATCGCCCAAAAAAAGCACAGATGGAGATCCCCCGATTCGTGGAACCACCCTCCATTAAAAAGACAAAACCTCTTTCTAAGCTTGGCCCTAAACCACCAAACCCTGACTCCCAACCACGTATAGATAAAGCCAGAAAGTTGGAACATCATTATCCTCATGCCCCTAGGGTAAATCATACGGGATCGTGGCACGAATCCTCCTAAAGCCATGTTCCAACTTCCTGGCTTCTACTAGGCTGTTCAGTAACCCACTGGGAAAAAGCACATACTTCTTTAGGTTTCTTATTTCTCAATAGGAACCCAGAAACCTGAAAGTAAAAAAGGGTACCACTGAACGGCCTGGGTAGATCCCTTAAAGGAACCCTGATAGTACCCTTTAAAGGGCCCCTAAACCCAAAACCCTAAGAGCCTGGCTTCTACTGTCGAGACCCCGGGCCTTGATCGTGAAGCGCCCCACCGCTTCGTCCTCGAGCATCATCTCTTCAGGGCGCCAGTCCTTGGGGATGCGTTTACAATCGATTATATGTTATACGTTTAAGTTGTAGGGTTTAGGTTTAGGTTTAGAGTTTAGGGTTAAGGGACAGGGTTAAGTTTTAGGGCTTACAGAAGTTCAATAGCTTGAGGTTGGTGCTTTAGAAGGGTCTTGCAAGGGGCGAAGCTCCTTGTTCTTCTAGACTACGGTTCCGGGCATCTACATGTCGAGGCTGTTTTAGAGCTTCGGGTTCAGGCACGCAGAACATGAGAGTTGCGTCTTTTAGGGCTTGTCCTTCTGAGCTTCAGAAGTTCGAGCATGTAGAGTCCTCGAGCCTAGGATTCAGGATCCCAGGTCATCTGAAAAGACCTTCAGCCAATCCAAGCTCGCGAAGTCTTCAACCGAAAGCCTGAAGACGAGTTTTAGGGTTTATAGGGGTTAGGGGTCTAAGGGTTTGGGGCTTAGGGGTTTAGGGTTCAGGGTTTAGTAATCCTCAGGCCCTCAGCTGCTCTTCCAAACTCGACAACACACCCACGGAGCGATCGAAGACCACTGACACCTCAGGGAATACCACAAACATCCACATATATATATATATATGTATATATATATATATTTTTTTTATACACATACACACAGTTTGCTATACGTAGACTTATGGTTATGCATATAAAAGCTAATATTCCATACCCCCCCTTTTTAAAACCTGAGGCCGGTGCATTCCAGCTTCCGGCGATAAAATATCGGCCTCGGCTGCGCCAACTACGAACCCTCCTCGGTCCTTAGGGGAGGGTTTACCCAAAGGCCCCAGAGTAGTCCCTCTTTGGGGTTCATAAGGAATTCCCCAAAAGGAAATCCGGCCTATGGGTAGGGTTTAAGCACAGCGGCGTTCAGACAGGAACAGCCCGAAAAGTTGACAATCTTGGCCCCGGATGGTGCAAGGTATGTTCGAGCGTGTCCTTAACTGTGGGGTATCGGGCCCTCTGGGGTGGAAACTGCGGGGTAGGCTTGGGGAGTTCTGTGCAGATTACACTACCTCCAAGAAGTTGAAGCATATTGGGTGTAACCACTATTCGCACTCTACTTGTTTCACGTTTTCTGAAGGTCTCTGTGCCTGCTTTTGGGCTTGAAGCTCTCGGGATTTAAGCTTCGATGGCTTGGCATCTAGGGGTTGCTGGGATACCCTGAACCCCATTTTAATTAGAATAGGGTTTTGGGGTCCAGAAAATAAACTCTAGTTATAATGAAGAACCCCCTGAATGGTAGTGGTAATAGTTTTTGGGCCCGCACTTAGAGGATCATGGGACTTTTTAATTAGGGTTATAAGTAAGGTAACTATACTTATAACTACATATATCCCCAATTAAGGTACTTATAACCTTACTTACTAAGTCCCCTGATCCTTTAGGTATGCTACACTCAAACACCCAAGATGGCAAGCGAAAGTCAGGGTCGGGGAGCGCAGGTGGGGCTGTCGGCTGTATAGGGAAGAGAATAGAAGCCTAGACAAGGGGAATAGGATTCCTTCAAAGGGGGTTCATATAGGGGCCTTAATAACTAGAATAGGGTTTCGGGACCCGTTATGCTATAAGTATACTACGGAACCCTGATCATAATATTGGTAATATTGAAACCTCTGTAGTACAAGGGCTGCTATAAGGGAGCCCAGGCGTCGGTAATCGGAGCGAGCAGCTCCAAAATCCAAGACCTACATAGATCGTGCGTGAGCCCATGTTGAAGAGTCAGAAAATCCTTAAAGGGATCTATAGGGTTCCTTGGAGGGTTCTATGGGGTTTAGGATCAGAAAACATTGCAATACGGTTGATGATATAAATCCTGCATTACCCAGAATAAGGAATATGCCATAATTCTTGTAGTCTAGCGTCATTAAGATAATGCAGGATTTATATCATCAACCGGAATATAGAAATGTCTTGATTCAAACTTCAGTTCAGGCTGGCCAACATGAAGCTTCTCATCATCGTCGGGCTGATACAAAGAAGGAGGAGGCTCGACACAACCTGAAGCTGCATGGGCTGAGTTGATAAATCTCTTGTAAAGCCCTATGCCCTAGGCATCTAAGGACTCATATATTAAGGCCTTCGGGCCCAAAGACCATACTATATGAGGCTTTTGGGCTATTTGGATGCCCTGGGTATGGCCTATGGGGTCATGGAAAAGCCGAACCCTTTGCGAACCCTGGGCCCCCGACCCATGGTCCGGGGCAAGCCGTTTCGCTGGACGTTTCGGGTATCCAGCCTGCAACCAGGGCCGTGCAGCCCACTGTCCCAAAATCAGCTTCGCAGGACCATGAACCCCAACACCCTGACACGTCCGAAGGTGCCCCTTCTGGTGGCGTTGCAGGGAAGGTGCATTTTGCTACCACATGCGGTAAGACTTTAAGCCCAACTGGCAGGCCAAAAACCCTAAAGTTCTGACATAGGGGCCTTAATAAGTCGAGCAACTTATGGACCTACCTGAAAACCCTCCATAATCCTCCATACAAACACACATAACCGCTATACTAAAAGCTGGAACATCATTATCCTCATGCCTCTAGAGTACAGTATAGGGAACCCCAGCAATAACCATCCTAAATCCACGTTCCAACTTTTCGGGCGTCACCTTTTTGAACCCTTATGCTCCTAGTAATATAAGGGCTTGAAGCCTAATAGTTACCCCTATGGTGGGGCTCATTGCTGCGTACAACTATGGTACAATATACCCCAGAACCCTATTCAAATTATCAAGGCAAGCACTAAGCCCTAAACCCCGAACCCTAAACCCCTTACCCTGAGCCTTAAACAATGCAAGCCCTACGAACCCTATAAACCCTAGAAGCCCCATAAGGGTATTTACGGGTTCTATCCTAGGGTTCCCCTTTAAGGGTACTCTAGGGTTCTATAATAGTTAGGGTTCCCTTTACGTGCTTTTTCAGGGGCCTCTCCCAGGTGACGGAGCGGAAGCGACCCTTCACCTGCAGCTGCACCTGGTAAGGACCAAATGAACACATCAGGGCTTAGGGTTTAGGGTTTAGGGGTTTAGGGTTTAGGGTTTAGGGCTTAGGGTTTAGGGTTTAAAAGGATTTAACGTTCAATTACCATATAGGGAATCATACTATCAGGGTATAGGGCCCCTACTTCTAGGGTCAGTTGGGCCCCCGGGGATGTGGGAATCGGAACGATCGGGACATTACGGGTTAGAATCGGATAGACTGGGGTGCTAGGGCTTTTGCGCTGTGTGATAGCATACTAGATAAGGAACCATACGGGGATATACCTGCCAATTAGGGGGGGGGCCTTAGATGGGTCACAGTATGCTTCGTCTGTGCTACGGATTTAGATTTAAGGCTGATGGTTTAGGCGTTGAGGTTCAGAAGGTGCAAGGATATTCTGCTCTTTGGGCGTTGAGGGTTTGAGGTTCAAGGATATCCTGTTCAACACGAACGGTCTAAGGGGTCTAGGGCTGATAGTATGGCCTTTCAGGGTTCAAACGTAGGGGCTTACAGTTTGAAGCCTGGAGTTTAGGGTCTTTCGTGCTTTGGGCTGTATTGGGGCTTGCTGCGGACTGCAATGATGCTTGATCCTCTAGATTTGTGAAGCTCTCATGAACTCTTGAAAGCTTTCGCTGTCTTTCCGCATAGCAGGACTCTTCTCAGATCGGATATGTTCATTGTCATCACTTTCGGAAACATGTATCGGATTGAAGACGTTCTGTGAAGCCAGTTGACTCCTGACCAGTGGACAAGGGCTGAAAACGCCCTGGTGCCTGTGGCGGTGCGTCAAGGACCCATGTTGGAAGGGCAAGGGCATGGAACGCCTCTCAGCTTTCGTTTCTCTCGGTGACCCTTTGCCGGCAGGTATGGCAATACTTTGCATGCCTATAGCAACAGCCGTATAACATGTAAAATACTACTCTGTACACGGTATACCTTAACCCTATGGAACCTACCCTTTTAAGGACTTATATAAAGAAATCATATTAGGGAACCCTAAAAAGACAGGTTCCTTAGGGTCCAGGTAGTGTTCATACTATCTCAACCGAGGAAGGAAGCTGGACCCAAGAGTAACCTAGGAATAAAAAGGGTGCCCTTTTTGGGATAAAGGGGGTTATAAGGGAACCTAAACCCTTAAAAAGCGAATAAGGGCCTACTCTGGGTCCTAGGAAGTCGTGCAGTCTTTGCAGCTTGGCCGACAATCGCGAGACTCGGCCTGAATCTGGGGCGGTACCTTCTGCTGCAAGCGGGGAGATCGCTGAAAAGGAACCTTTTAGAGGATCCCCTGAAGCAATGCCGATCTTCGCTGAAATCGTGCATGAATGCCATGTGCGACGAGCAAGTGAGCTTGAAACTCCCAATTCGGAGCGCTAAATCCGCGCACCCTACGTCCCCAAACTGCCTAAACACGAGCGCCTGGTTCACCCAGAGCCTCCAAAACCCCTTAATTAAGGAATATACCTTAAACTATATTAGGGATCCTATTCTGATTTAAGGTATATTCCTTAATTAAGGGGTTTTGGAGGCTCTGGGAATGACACTTTCATAAATGAGGCCAAGCAGAATTCACCAAATGGCTGGATCGCGGGTGCAAGTATCTCCTCCTGAAACAAGGGCATTATTCCGAGAAGTCCCTCTACACTTCACCCCCAAACACTCAACCCCAACACCTGACCTTGTGAAACCCCGAAACTCTGAACCCGCATTTCAGTAGCCCAGCATGAAGGAAAGCTGTAATTATACAATACAAATATCACAACAAGGACACGCTGCATAAATGCTCGCGCACATTCCAAAGAAGCCCCATGTACACTCACCAAAAACCCGTACTTCAAGCCTCAATCCTAAACCCTAAACCCCCATACTATTTTGGGGGCTCCTTGTCATTATATCTATAGCATAATGGGCTCCAAAACCCTATTCTCATCATCAAGGCCCCTATGGTAAACAACCTTTGATCGGCACTGGAGCCAGGGACCTGGTACTGATCACCCGGCTGCCCCTCGTCCAAGGGCAACCTGCGGGAAGGACAAACCCGAAGCCATATTATAGGATCCTTTTAGTAACCCTCATCGACCCCTTTAAAAGGCACCCTATTCTAGCCCCAAACCGGAAAACTTGCCAATGTTTGATGCAAAGCTTGGGGTTTGGAGTTTACTTTGTATTTCGAGTGTACGTATTGGAAATGGAGCATGTTGGAAACGTCATTTGGAATATAGTATATTGGGAATGGGGTGTACTGGAGGCAATGAGAATCGGGTTGAGGTGTGGGGTTTTGGGAAGGCTTGCTGTAAAGAATTCGGGGGTCGGAAGTGGTTTCAGCGTTCTGCTGTGAGGCACCTACAGGAGGGCTTTGTGCCGACGTGGTTTCAATATCTAGTATAGGGGCCTTAATAATTCGAATAGGGTTTTGGGGTATATGATACTATAATCAAAATAGGGAACCCCCAAAAGAGTATAGGCAATTATTTAGGCCGCGAAAGTATCTAGATCAATCTGGCTCCCGGATCTTCCAGTGTAAAAGGACAAAGAGATGGACGGTGTGTTCGGAACCACAACTTTTCAAAAACCGAGTGGGCAATGGGGATTAGACTTTAGGGTTTAGGGGCTTAATGGAGCAGCAGCAACAAAGAAGCATATCACGAAAACGGAAGCCTGACATGCACCGCAGCCACTTTAAACTGTAATATCCCATGCAGAACCCTTGAACCCGAAAGGAACCCAATTACATTCTCTCTGCAACAACCGGGCCCCAAAAAACACAAGCTGTGTAAGATACACCAAATATGTATGAGCAAAAAGTTTAAAATCTTTCCATTGGCTATCTAAGAGAAAATTCTGCCGCAACTGAACCGTCGAACCCATAAAGGCAGCCGAACTATTCCAATTCCACAGGTTCAGCCTCCACCCCTTCTTGGAGGCCTCAAAAAGTGGGATTAAGGTCGGACTAAGGATCCCTTCTCTAAGAACTCTGGGGATTCGAAAAAAATGCTTTCATCATCACCGATACTAGTTTGGAGGTTCCTTATTATGCTGCTATAGTATACGCCAAAACCCTATTCGAACTAAGAGGGGCCCTGGCCCCTTTCTTACCTTCATCTATACCGAACTTAGAACCCTAGCAAAAATTATAATTTTAGCTGTTTCTTAGGGATTATAATAACCAAAAATTAGAAATTATTTCTAAGTACCCCTAAGTCATCGAACCCTTGGAGCCCTTTGCCCTCGTAGCTTCTGGGGCTGCAGGCCCGATGTCCGCCAGTGCTTTTGGCTCCCCTGCGGTGCAGGGATCCGACGGGGAAGGGCTTCCGTTTCCAAGGGTTAGGGTTTTAGGGTTTAGAGATCTATAAGGCTTACCATAAGGATTCTAGAAGGGTTTGTTTTAGGGGTACTTACAGGATCCTGGAACTTAGTAACTAGGGTAGGGCTTTGAGTTCAGGGTTTTGGACTTCTGGGGACGCTGTTCTGTTTTGACACGGGCTTGGGCACAGAAGTTTTCGGGGACAGGCTTCTCTGACTGTTGATGGGGCGTAGGGTTTCTTGCTTTGGGATCTTAGGGGTTGGGGACAATTTTATCTTAAGATTTGCAGGTTCAGAGGATTCACCGGGTGGGTCTTGGACTGGTTTTGGGATTGGGTGAGCTAAGGCATAGAAAATTGACACTTGCCGATTTGACTTAGGTCCCCGAGCCAGAGCCCCCCCAAAGCCTTCGGGTCGAGGGTTTGAGCTTTGAGGGCTTTTGGTTGTGGGATGGCGGTTTCTGGGTTTTACGTATGTATGCCCATGCCACAGGCGGACTGGTCTGATGGGTTCCGTGTTTGCACGAACTACCCGTCTCAAGTTGGCCTCCCTTTTAAGCGTTAAGACCGAAACTGTGTAACCTTCTGCGTGATACTCCTCAACCTTCAAGGGAAACCTGAAAGCTCTATCTGCAAACCCGATGCTTGCCGAACAGCTTTTCATGCAGGCCGTGTCCTGGGTCATTCCTGTGTGCGCCTTGGCATCCCCAAAATGCCTAAGCCCTCAGCGCGGTCTTTGCGCAAGATCCACATGGCGATATCTTCCGTGCGCAGGAAGATCTGCGAAACCCTGGGCTGTCTCAGATGGCAGCGCAAAAGGTCCGCAATCTCTGCATGGCCATTCTGAGCTGCAATGTGCAGGGGCGGGTGAGCAGGATGTGGAGCCTTGTTCATGTCTGCCCGGGCCTCCAGCAAAAGCCGAACGACCTCGAACTGCCCAGTCTGAGCTGCAACATACAAAGGGGTTTTGCCGCCGCTTTTTTTTCTTTATCCTTGTCCGCGTGGGCCTCAAGCAAAAGCCGTACAGTTTCCACCTGCCCACTCAAAGCTGCAACATACAAAGGGGTTTCGCCAGTCTCTTCCGCCTTGTCCGTGTTCGCATTGGCCTCCAACAAAAGCCGGACAACCTCCAACTGTTCATTCTGAGTTGCGATGTACAAGGGGGTTTCGCCACTCTGCATGGCTTTATCCATATCTGCACGAGCCTCCAGCAATAGACGTGTCACCTCCAGGTGGCCGTGCTCGGATGCCACAAACAGCGGGCTTCCTTGATTGGGGTTTTGCGGCCCCTGGAGAAGATTCTCCACTTCTGATGTGAGGCCGCGTCTGGCAGCATCCCGCAGCGCCCACGTTTGATTGTCAGATGCCTGGCAGAAGTTTAGAAGAAGCAACTGAATCTCGCCAGCTCTCAAGGCGTGATCATCATCTAGAATCGTATCGTCACCCAGATATACAAGCCTTTGCCTGAACCTTGACACCCCAAGCATGCTGTGCAGGTGCTTCTTCAGTGCCCGGACAGGACTCATCCCTGCAGGAAGCGTCTGCAGAAAGCTTCCCACATCTATCTCCATGAGGCTTTCACCGGACACGGCCCGAATCCGCAGCATGTCTAGCACTGCGCGGAACTAGTTTCAGTGGTCGGTTCTCGAAGGAGCTGTGGAGGCGAGGCTACTAGTTGTGGGTCGTCAGTCTAAATCTGTCAAATGCACAAGGTACCGGCTTGAACCACAACTGCGGTGATCATTAAATCACATTGAGGCTGCGCCCTAAAATCTATGTATGGAAACATGCGCTTCGCAAACATGGGTTGAGCTGAAGCTGAAAGCCTACATACCCCCCATCTTCAGACAGACGCTGAGCCGTATACCCTCCAAAGCCTCCAAGCTCAAAGGAGAACTCCAGACAGACCTTGAGCCCTACCTATAGTCTCCATTGTAGTTCCTGTTTTTGGTTAACCAAAATCTCTATTATAGGATCGTAACCATAAAATTGGTTAACCAAAAAAAAGGGAGCTACAATGGAGACTATAGGCACACCCCAAAGCTCCAAAAGCTCCAAAGCGAACTCCCCGACACAGCATTGACACGGAAACCCTAAACCCGAAATCCGTAAACCCTACACCCCCGAACTCTGAACCCCCAAACCCCCCCGGAATCCCTAAACCCTAAACCCTAAAGCCTAAAGCCGGAAGCTCCCATACAGCCTCAGCCCCCGCCTCGCCCCAAAGCCTAGGGTGATAAGTAGGGTTACCATAGTTATAACTGGTTTAGGGTTTAGGGTTTAGGGTTTAGCGCTTTAGGGACTTTAGGGTTTTAGGGATTATGGTTTAGGGTTTTGGGGTTTAGGGTTTAGGGCTTTCGGGTTTTAGGGGTTTAGGGTTTACCTTAACCCCATGGAACCTACCTTTTTTAAGGACTTATATAAAGAAATCATATTAGGGAACCCCAAAAAGGCAGGTTCCTTCGGGTCCAGGTAGCTCATATTAGGGGACGTATAACCCCAAATATAGCTACCCGTGAAGCTCCATTAGGCGGCTTACAACCCCAAGTATAGCTACCAATGAAGCTCGAAGCAGTTCTGTCAAAGGGATTTGACCTGAAGTCGCGGAGCCCCAAACTCCACCAACAGCATCAAGGTGGTTTAGAGTTCCGGGTTGATACGGTTGATGATATAAAATCTGCATTACCTTATAGATGATTCTAGACTATGGGATTTTTGATGTATTCCTTATTATCGGTAGTGTAACGCAGGATTTGTATCATCAGCCGTAGGGTTTTGGACTGAGGGTTGCTTGAACTTTAGTCAGTCGGATTTACTATAAGGGCCTTAATAATTAGAATAGGGCTTGGGTGCCCGTTATACTGTATTTGTAGTAAAGAACCCCCAAAATGCTACAGGTAACTATTAAAGCCACTATAGTAGTTAGTCGGATGTCGGGTTCAGGGCATAGGAATTCGGGTGTACGGTTTAGGGTTTGGGGTTTCTACGGTTGATGATGTAAATCCTGCATGACCCATAGTAAGGAACCTACCATAATTCCCATAGTTTAGGGTCATTAAGGTAATGCAGGATTTATATCATCAACCGTAAGGATTGGGCACGCGCGTGAAAAAAGCGTTCATAGGCTTCGCGTGATGGGCGAAGAAGATATGCCGGCATGTTAGTGCCACGAGAGATTCACAAGGACACGCATTGACCCCAAGCTCCAAATACTTTTCACTTTAAGCCCAAAACCCTGACTCTGTGACCATAAACCCTCAACCCTTCAACCCGAATGAACCTATAACCAAAAATCAAACCCTTGCGCTTGGGGGTATACCCTGGACCCCAAACCGTGAGAGCCAGCACATAATGTAGGGGCCTGAAAAAAACCATTATTGGGCTTCCTTCTAAGAGTTATGGTATACTATGCCCCAAAACCCTGTTCGAATTATAAAAAAGGTCCTATATTAGGGACTTTACTAGGGACTGTAAGGGGCAACTACTGTGAGTTGCGGAACAAGAGAGTAGCAGTGAAAAGGCCCCCCACAAACTCAACATCTGAAACTTTAGGGCCGTTTAGGGGTTTAGGGTTTAGGGGCGCCATAAGCATAGGGTTACAAGTAGCACCATAATGTCTCAGACGGGCATCCCTGTCCCAGAAAACCCCAAAACCTCTCCACTTTAAAGCTTTGAACATAAAACGAAAACCCAGCAACCCACACAATCGAAACGCATTAGCAGGCAATCTTTCAGAGAGGTCCCTAAATCCTTAAACCCAAACCCGACAAAATACATCGAGACACCCTGACAGCTAACACCACAGCTCCCAGACCCGAAAATCCCCCCTGGCCAACGCCCCCAAGAAACCCATACGCCCCAATACCCTCTTGACTCCATACTGTTGATGATATAAATCCTGCATTTTCTTAAGGACCCCACACTATGGGAATGATGGTCTATTCCTTCTTTACGGGTCATGCAGGATTTAGATCATCAACCGTACCAGTTCCGCGCCCGCCTCGCGCATCCGTGGCACTCCTGGGTCGTGTGTCAATGGCCCAGCCGTAGATGGCAGCCTGCATCGGGGTTAGGACTTTAGGGCTTTAGGGCTTTAGGGGTTTAGGGTTTAGGGGTTTAGGGGTTTGGGGCTTTAGGGGTTTAGGGGTTTGGGGCTTTAGGGGTTTAGGGTTTACCTTCAAACTACCGAACCCTACTTGTTTTGGTAGGTTCTTGTTCTATACCCTCATACGGAATGTCTAGGGGACCCTACAAAAACAGGAAGGTTTTGGTAGCTTAAGGTCGGTTCCTTCTCGTATGCCGAGGCTTTCGTTAAGCTTTGAAGCCATGTACAATAAGGGCGCTGCAATGGTTCTAGCAGTTATGGTTGAGGGCTGTAGGGCTTGAGGTCTGTGATCTAGGACATGTCTGTTTTGGGGTAACTAAGTAAAGTTTTGGGGCATTCAGAGGGCCTTAGAGTCTATGCTCCACACTCAGGAATTTCGGAGCACTTGCAGGGACTTCCCTGTCCAATCACACCATGGGACCCTGGGATGCAGCGGGAGAGGCTACGGCGCCGAGAACCGACAATCACCGCCTGCGTCAAACGAGGCATCACGGCAAACGTCCAGTCAGCTTGTCCTGAACAGCCCTGCTGTCGCCGCCGCTGGACGCATCACCCCAACTCACTACTGAACCATTGCCGAGGATCGCAGCAAAAGCACAACCAGCAGCTTGAATGTGGTGCACATCCTGTAGCTTCCCTTTCACAAGCGTGCTGTCACCACCACACCCTGCATGACCCCAGGTCACCACAGATCCATCGCCGAGGATCGCTGCAAAAGCAAAGGCAGAAGCCTGGATTTCTTGAACCTCCTTCAGCTGATCTTGTACAGCTCTGCTGTCGCCGCCAGAACCCGAGTCGCCCCAGGTCACTACAGATCCGTTGCCAAGGATCGCGGCGAAAGCACAGTTGGAAGCTTGGATCTGCTGCACATCCTTCAGCCGCGCTTGAACCGAGCTGCTGTCACCACCGTAGTCAGCATCACCCCAGGTCACGACAGAACCATCGCCGAGGACAGCTGCAAAAGCATGGGCAGAAGCTTGGATTTGTCTCGCATCCTTCAGCTGATCTTGTACAGCTTTGCTATTGCCGCCGTGGAGGGGATGGCCCCAGGTCACCACGGATCGATCGCGGAGGATCGCAGCGAAGGCACTACTAGAAGCCTGGATCTGTTGCACATCGTTGAGAAGATCTCGCGCAGCACTGCTGTCGCCGCCGTACAGTACATGGCCCCAGGTCACCACGGATCCATTGCCGAGGATTGCAGCGAAAGCACAAGCGGATGCTTGGATCTGTTGCACATCCTCTAACTGGTCCTGAACAGAGCTGCTATCACCACCGTAAAGTGCATCACCCCAAGTCACCACGGAGCCGTTGCCGAGGATCGCAGCAAAAGCGCAGTTAGACGCTTGGATCTCGTGCACGTCCTTCAGCTCAGCTTGCACAGCCTGGCTGTCTGCACCGTGGAGAGGATGGCCCCAGGTCTCCACAGAGCCATTTCCAAGGATTGCGGCAAAAGCATGGGCAGAAGCTTGGATCTTCTGTACATCCTGCATCAGGTGCTGCGGAGCAGAACTCGCATCGCTCCAAGATACCACGGCTCCGCTGCCCAAAATCGCAGCAAAAGCGCTGTTCGATGCATGGATCTGGTGCACATCCTTCAACTGATGCTCCACGGCCGCGCTGTCCCCGCCAAATTCAGCATCCCCCCAGACCACCACGGATCCGCTCCCGCTGATTGCAGCGAAGGCGGCGGCTCCATCGGCGTAGCTTTGCTTGGCTTGCTTCGAAGCTGCAACACGAACCTGCGTCACATGAAAAGTCAGCAGGTCACCACTTCTTACTCCAGCGCTCTCGATGGTTGCCTCCGCATCCAAGACTTTCCCAAAAGCATTCAGCAGCCTGCCCTTGCCGACTGCCAGAGCCCTCTGAGCAACTTGGGAGAGCGAATCAATGGTTGCGTGCGCACTTGCTTCCAGAGAAGTCGTCTTGCCGCTGAGGAGATGCACATCGACCGTGACAGACATGACAGGCCCTCATACACGAGACCTGCTCTGGAAACAGCCGGACACTCGGAGCCCAATTTGGATTATTGTTCCAGGATGCCATGTGGAGCGTATATCGGCATTAGGTCGGTTAAGTCCGTCTTCTGTGCATCAACCACAGGCGCGACAATCATGCAGGTATCAAGATTTCAGCATTTATGCATTCGAATTCGGGGTGAAGGAAGTTTTGAGGGTTTTGGCCTCCGACAAACTCCGGAAGCTCAACTTCTTGAAAGCCTCTACAACCCTCTGAACCCCAACAGCAGCCAGTCAAGTGGGCTTGGATTTGGGTCTCGGCCTTTGGATTTCGGGGTTCCGCGATGCTACATCCGATCTGCACTTGAAGACGAGCATAAACTGCTCCGCACCATCGACAAGCGGGGATTGCTCAAATTGCTGCCAGCAGTGCGGGCAGCCGAAGTCCCATGTGGCAGTCCAGGTTGGGGGTTCAGGATTTAAGGGTTTGCCTTGATACCAAACGCCTGAACTTCATACATATGGCAGTTTCCGAAAATAGGGG